TTTTTTTTTCCCTGGCTTATTATTAATTATTAATTATTATTATTTTTTTTTTATTATTATTATTATTTCTAAAATCTCCCTGCGTTTTTTTTTAGGAACTGATCGTCGAGATGTGATTAACAAAAATAATTCAACCTTCTCCCAATAACTTACAGGAGTTCACCCAGGGGGAACTTTTTTGTGCTTATTTTTGTTTTTTTGGGGTCAAGCTCTCTGACCCCAAAAAACCCCAGGGGGGGTTTTGGGGGGGACCCTCAGCCCCCTCCTGCCTGTACAACTTTGGTCACTAGCGCTGTGTCACCCCAAAATCCAGACCCCAAAATCCAGGCCTCAAAATCAGACCCCAAAATCCAAACCTCAAAGTCCAGACCCCAAAATCCAGATCCCAAAATCAGACCCCAAAATCAGACCCCAAAACCCTGACCCCAAAATCAGAACCCAAAATCCAAACCCCAAATCCTGACCCCAAAATCCCCGGGCCAGCGGGGACAGGGCTGGGATTTCTCCAGGAAACCCCAAAACCACCGGAGTGGGCTCGGGATTCCCGTGCCAGGATATCCCAAAATGGGGCAGGAGACCCCAAAGGGCCGAGGAGACCCCAAAAGTTTGGAATTCCCGTCCCAAAATGGGGCTGGAGACCCCAAAAGTTTGGAATTCCTGTCCCAAAATGGGGCTGGAGATCCCAAAGAGATGGAATTCCCATTCCAGGGATGCCAAAGTTTTGGGGTGTCCATCGTGAGGGTCCTGGCAGGGTTGGGGGGCCCATTGTGGGATTCCTGGAAGGGTTGGAGTTCCTGGAAGGATTGGGATGGACCCTGGAAGGGTTGGGATGTCCATCCTGAGGGTCCTGGAAGGATTTGGATTGGGATGTCCATCCCAGATTTCCCGGCAGGGTTGGGATTTCCATCCTGGGATTCCTGAAAGGTTGGGATGGACCATGGAAGGGTTGGGATTTCCATCCCAGATTTCCTGGCAGGGTTGGGATTTCCATCCCAGATTTCCATCCCGGGATTCCTGGCAGGGTTGGGATTTCCATCCCAGATTTCCTGGCAGGGTTGGGATTTCTATCCCAGATTTCCATCCCAGATTTCCCGTCAGGATTGGGATTTCCATCCCAGATTTCCATCCCAGATTTCCCGTCAGGATTGGGATTTCCATCCCAGATTTCCATCCCAGATTTCCCGTCAGGGTTGGGATTTCCATCCCATATTTCCATCCCAGATTTCCCGTCAGGATTGGGATTTCCATCCCAGATTTCCATCCCAGATTTCCCGTCAGGGCTGGAATTTCCATCCCAGATTTCCATCCCAGATTTCCCGTCAGGGCCGGAATTCCCACCCCGAGGGTCCCCGCGGCGGCACGCCGAGACCCGAAGCTCCCTGAGGCGCCGGCGGTGCCGGCGGTGCCGCGTCCATCCGGAACCGAGCCGGCCCGGAGGAGCGGCGGCGAGTCCGGCTCCTCCATCCCCACCTCGTCCTCCTCGTCCGGCTCGTCCCGCGGGCGAGTCCCGGCGCCGGCGCGCCGGGCTCAGCCGGAGCTCTCGGCGCCGCCGTGGTTGGCGCGGCGGCTCAGGCAGTTCCTCTCGTGGAGCAGGCTCGTGGTCTCGTCCGCCGGCGCCGCCGGCTCCGCCGGCTCCGGCCGCTCGGCCGGGGCGGCGTCGGGCGACTGCGGGCAGCTGTCCATGCGCGACGCCAGCAGCCCGTTCTGGTACTCCTGCCGCGAGATCTGCGGGGAGCGCCGGAGCCGTGGGGCGCCGCACGGCACGGCCGGAATTCCCCACCCGAGCTGGGGCAGGGCCGGAATTCCCAACCCGAGCTGGGGCAGGGGTGGAATTCCCATCCCAAAGTGGGGTAGGAAAACCCAAAGGGATGGAATTCCCATCCCAAAGTGGGGCAGGGATGGAATTCCCATCCCAAAGTGGGGTAGGAGTGGAATTCCCATCCCAAAGTGGGGTAGGAGTGGAATTCCCATCCCAAAGTGGGGCAGGGACAGAATTCCCATCCCAAAGTGGGGTAGGAAAACCCAAAGGGATGGAATTCCCATCCCAAAGTGGGGCAGAATTCCCGACCCGAGGTGGGGCAGGGACGGAATTCCCATCCCAAAGTGGGGTAGGGGTGGAATTCCCATCCCAGAGTGGGGCAGGGACGGAATTCCCGACCCAAGCTGGGGCAGGGACGGAATTCCCATCCCAAAGTGGGGCAGGGATGGAATTCCCATCCCAGAGTGGGGCAGGGGTGGAATTCCCATCCCAAAGTGGAGCAGGGATGGAATTCCCATCCCAAAGTGGAGCAGGGATGGAATTCCCATCCCAAAGTGGGGTAGGAGTGGAATTCCCATCCCAAAGTGGAGTAGGGACGGAATTCCCATCCCAAAGTGGGGTAGGAGTGGAATTCCCATCCCAAAGTGGGGCAGGGATGGAATTCCCATCCCAAAGTGGGGCAGGGATGGAATTCCCATCCCAAAGTGGGGTAGGAATGGAATTCCTGTCCCAAAGTGTGGTAGGGACAGAATTCCCATCCCAAAATGCGGTAGGAATGGAATCCCCATCCCAAAGTGGGGCAGGGGTGGAATTCCCATCCCAAAATGGGGTAGGAAAACCCAAAGGGATGGAATTCCCATCCCAAAATGGAGTAGGGACAGAATTCCCATCCCAAAATGGGGTAGGAAAACCCAAAGGGATGGAATTCCCAACCCAAAATGGGGTAGGAATGGAATTCCCATCCCAAAGTGGGGCAGGGATGGAATTCCCATCCCAAAGTGGGGCAGGGATGGAATTCCCACCCAAAAAGGGGTAGGGGTGGAATTCCTGTCCCAAAGTGGGGCAGGGATGGAATTCCCGTCCCAAGGTGGGGCAGGGGTGGAATTCCCGTCCCAAGGTGGGGCAGGGGTGGAATTCCCATCCCAAAATGCGGTAGGAATGGAATTCCCAACCCAAAGTGGGGTAGGAATGGAATCTCCATCCCAAAGTTAGGTAGGACTGCACAAAGGGATGGAATTCCCATCCCAGATGACCCCAAACGAGCCCCGCCAGAGCCGCTTGATCATCCCAAACCATCCGAGAAGATCCAATGGGTTGGGAATCCCATCCCAAAGGGTTTTTCCAGCCCTCATGGATCAGGAACCCCATCCCAAAGGGTTCTCCTGATCCTCATGGATCGGGAACCCCATCCCAAAGGGTTTTTCCAGCCCTGATGGATCGGGAACCCCATCCCAAAGGGTTCTCCCGGCCCT